ACGGAACCCATAGGAATGCAAACAAAATTTATACTTATTGTTAAAATATCTATAAAATATCTGATGATTTGATGTGCATATGTCTAATGTCATTTTTGACCGCCAATGGCATGTTTTTTTACTTTTTTTTTCGTTAGATCTCCGAACTCCGAAACCGCTAGACCTGCCCTCATGAAAATTTGATCAATTCTTCATCTTGTCAATACAAGTCAAATGTTTTTTGAATTATTAAAATCGGACGCTCCGTTCTCTTAAAAACTGAGTTACCGTTTTCGGCACTTTTTGCCCCGTATCTTTGGAACGGCTGGACCTGCCTTCGCCAAAAACTAATCAGCACGTCTCCTTATCAATACAAATCGAATGTTTTTTGAATTATTCAAATCGGTTGATCCGTGTTCCGAAATCGTCGACGAAAATTTGTATCCGCACATACATACATACACACACGTACATACATACATACATACCACACACCACACACACACACACACTCACACACACATACATCCATTTTTTCTAAGGTATGCCAAAATGTTAAGAAACCTCTGAAACGTAAAGATATATAAAAATTTTCATTTTCGATTTTTTTGCGATTACTATAACTTACCCTACGGGAAGTTAATAACTATCTCTCTATAATCATTTTGCATCATTTTTCAAAAGAAAATCTAAATACCTGAATAATTCACTTAATAATTAGTAAAACACATGCAAACATAAATCTTCAAACCAATACATCAAACAAGATATTAAGCCAATGACATTTGACAATCAAATTTGTCACAAAAGTGGTAAAACGTTCTAAATATTACAATAATTAAATTATATATTGTATAATGAAAATATTACCAAAAAATAAATAAAAGATTATATGAATCATGAGCTACTGTAAAATAGATAAAACAGACGAAATATAAATAAAGTACGCATTCACGTTCACAATTTATTGTCATTTGTCACTATACTTTATATTAGCTATATATCTGAAAAAACGGTCATGCAATCATTTTTTTCATTATTTCATTTTTTATTTTTAATTAAATATTTATTTATATTATTAACATATCTAGTATCTCTTAAGAGCTCACAATGAGCAGTGGTTAGTTATAATTTTACTCGAATTATTTTAATTAAATTAAACCATTAATCAAAGTATTATCCGCTATTTCATATAAAATATTTCTAAAGTACATTTTTTAATTAATTAGTATTACACTCATAATTAGTTCTTCTACAGAACATTATATATTTTAATTATGGTAATAAAATTTGATGATTTGTTTCTTTCATTTTCAATTTATATTCTAGTCACTTTTCTAGCTCCGTATAAATTGATTTTTGCATACAAATCTATATTTAGAAGCCGCATTTTTGCATTTAATATTTTGCAAGTAATAGTTCTGATAAAGATTGCAATAATTTTTATACGACTTTTCAGACGATTTTTATATAAGATGATGCGTTTAATTTGTGAATACACATAAGTTAGAATAAAATTATTATAATTCCAAATTAAATTTGAGCGAATTAGTTTATTATTAAAGTCTTAAATACTCAATAGAAATAATAAACTCAGCTTACTGTTATTAAAAAATATTATCAATTAAACAAACTTTTATTGTGCGAATATCGTCATTACAAAACCAAAATAAAAAACTTCTAGTATTGAACTACATATAATTTTAGGCCAAAAATTATTATAAAACGATAAATAGTGTAACTAAAAAAATACAATCATGCAACAAATCATGATCTAAAAACAAACAACCACAAAGATGCAGATACACACCTATTAAACCTAAATCCATATTGCTTATCGAACACGAGTCTCTCTGCCACCGCAAACAAAGGTTTACAACATCTGCATCTGATTTCTAGACGAACACCTTCGCAAATCAAAGAAGAATTCACTCAGAAACACTGATATTAAATTATAGAGATAGATAGGGCACACAATATACTAATCACTAATGGTTAAATTAATTAACATAAGCTTTTTTAATAATTTCTTAATGAATTTTTTATATCAATGTTTCTGTGTAATGTAAGTCATGTTGCTAAAGGTTTTTAACTGAATTAAATAATAGACGCTTATAAATACAGTTAATCGTCAATAAAAGATTTTTTCTAGCATTACATATGTTAGAGATATACCAAGAAGATAATTTTCAATCAACATAAATAGATGGCCTTAATTTTGGAATGTGTACATCATGATTAAGGTATCGATTTTAATACATTTTCACATAATCGTACGAAAGCAAAAAAATACTTGTTGATCACACTTTGATTTAAACATCACATTTATTTTAATAAACTCTTTTATATACACACTATAGTCCATATGACTACAGTCTTTGGTTTTTCGCGAGATGAATTGAGTGAAAAATGTGCATGTTGAAATGAGTGAAAAACCAAGGACTATAGTCCATTTAACAAATATTCTATATAAATATATTCCAATAAATTTTGTGGAAAAAAAAGTCTAAAATACATTGATCGTGTATTGTAAAGATCGCATAGATAATCAAGTGTTGCAAATCAATTTTCATGTAGCAATTTTACTTTATGGTATAATATCAAATATGAAAAAATTGCTAAATATGTAAAATAATCCCTATTTTTTATGCTGATTTTTGTGAAAACTACGGCATAACCGGTGATTATGAAAGACATAGACATTTACGATATTAAAGGGTCCGCCATTTAACTTTTTTGGAGGCCATTTGCAATTTTTTTCGCAGCCATTTAAGAGCTAGGTAGCCATTTAAATGAAATTATTTTCCATTAGTAACCAGAAGTATTGTACTTTCAAATAAAAAAGTTTTTATAGTGGTTTTCATAAAAGGTTAGTCCATTATTAACTGGATGAATAAAAGAAATAATTTCGAATGAAAAAAGAAATTTAAAAAAAAAAATTTCAGTAGTTTTTTAAAAAGGATTTTCAAAAAAAATATTTGGCGGACCCTAAACGATATTTTACAGTTTACTTCAAAGGCTTGTGTAAGAAAATAAAAATTACCTAGTAAAGTAATCACAAGTAGTTTTTTTATGTATTGCTTTATATCAAAGCTAAAAAGTATGTATATCCCTGTTGAATTATCTAAATGCAGGAAATATTGCAAAATATAAAAATATATTAAAACTGTTAAAAATGCCAAGTATGAAGAATTTATGGAGTCCAAATGTAAAATATAAGTGTATAACAATACACAATGCACATCGTTATTGTGTTTACGTTCTAATATATCTCATTTTAAAACATATTTCATAATTATATGTATTAATTGTATTTGGATACATAATAATGTGATTATTAGAGTTCGCAAATAATTTAAAAAAATGGATTGATTTATGTTAATGTTTGCAAATTTTTGGTAATTTTTATAATATTGCATGTTTTTAAATTATGTATTAGCTGATCCAGAAAATTTTATACATATAAAGAAGGACAAGAGCAGTCATTCTAGAAAAAAGCTGTTTTTCAACTTCAAACAAGCCACTTTTTCTAAACAGAATTGATTGACAATAAGCGTTTGAAGGCCATATTTGACACTGTTTAGACGCTATGAGTCATTATACTTTCTTTAATTAGTGAAAGTTTGCTTATTGGATATGAATATTCAGAAATAGTTTACGAAATTTTAAGTAATTTGTTACTACATATTTTATTTTTAGAAAACATTGCTTATTAGGTTAATTCGAATTATTATACGGAACTTACGTCATATATACTTCTACCAAATTTTATAAATATGCATTATAGAACAATGTAAATGATAGTGATACTATACATATACATATATATATATATATATTATATATATTATATATATTTTCTATATCCGGTATATATTTCGTACTGAACATATCGTTTTCTTGAAAACCAGAACTGAACATTATAACCTTCATATAGATAGCAATTTTA